CCCACCCCCCATATTTTCTGTCCCAGGGTGCCCTTTGCTGTCGTGCTCGGCAGCGAGGTAAACCTAAAGTTGTGCTGCCTAGTCTTCTAATCCCTATGGTCTTTGAGTATTTTCATTCTTCTCCTGTGGGTGGGCATCTAGGTATCCACAAGACCATTGCGAAGGTTAGGGAAATGTTCATCTGGAAGGGTATGGATCGGGATCTTGCTGCTAGGGTGCGTTCTTGTCAAACGTGCTCACTGAGCAAGCCCGCTCAAAACTCTAAGTTTGGTTTGTTGTCATCTGAGGTGGCGGAAAGACCTTTGGAGAAGGTTTTCATTGACTATGTAGGGCCTCTCCCGCGTAGCAAGTCAGGAAATAAGTTCCTACTTGTTTGTGTGGATGCCTTCTCCAAGTTTTGTTGGCTTTTCCCCTTAAGGAATGCCACTGCACAGCTCACCGTGCAGGTACTTCGAACTCACCTCTTCCAACATTTTGGAATACCCGCCACCATTGTTTCCGACAACGGAACACAGTTTGTTTCCCATCTGTTCAAAAGAATGTGCTTTGGGCACGGAATCCGCCATGTGACTACTTCCCCTTACTATCCACAGCCTTCTCATGCTGAAAGGTTCAATCGCAATCTTCGTTCCGCTCTCATAGCTTTCCATGCTGACAAGCAGACCACCTGGGATCAGGAACTCCCTTGGCTTCAGTTTGCTTTCAATACTGCTCACCATGAGAGTCACAAGGCGGTCCCTTTCGAGCTGTTTCTAGGCTATCCGCCTAACAACCCGTTAGCGAATGTGTGGGGAATTGGCGACCTTCTGCCACCTCCTGGTGCGGCTGATGTCAAGGCAACTTGGCAAGCGGCCAGGAGAAACTTGATCAGAGCTAGGGAATTGGTCCGGAGGAAGCACAATCGTGGTAGAGTAGACAACCCTTTCCAGGTGGGGGATTTGGTGTTTTGTAAAGCTCATCCAGCCAGTTCGGCTGTGGACAAGAGAGCTGCAAAGTTGTGTCATCGGTGGTCAGGTCCCCACCGCATCCTGAGGTTTTTGACGCCTGTCACGGCGGAGCTTGGAGATCCGCGGACTGGAAAAGTGTTCCGGAGGGCGCACATTTCTCATCTCAAGCCCTTCCGCGGAACTCTTCCGTAGGCAATTTTCCTTCCTCTTGTGTCTGGGTGGGAAGTGCACTGGGCCAGAGAACCTGATCACTTCTCCTGTCCCCTGTGTTCTGCGAAGGAATTTCCCTCACAAAATTTTCCAGCTCTGGCCAGAGCAAACCCTGGGGGTGAGTTTTCCCCTCAGTTTGGAAGTCCCTTGGCGTTCCCCACCACAGACACTTGAGTTGTCTTTCAGGTCAATCTCTTTTCAGGAAGTGGGGGAGAGGCTTGTTTGTTTGTCCCTTTTGGAGAGGAGTGTCCTCTTTTGGGGAGGGAGGTTGAGCCGTGACTATTTCCACCGGGCGAATGTCACGACTCATGATCAATGGTTCAAGTGTTTTTTTTTATAGTAGGCTAGTTCAGTGTTTCGTTGTCACTCCACGGCCCCCCGAACAAGGCTGTGGGTTTTGTTCTTTTTACTCTTTTTCCGCCAGCAACTCATAGGTTGTGTGGCGTTGCTCGACTCCGGGTCGGCTCATTTTGGTTATCCGATTTCATCTTAAAGTTTGTGGCATGGTAAGTGAAGCATGCAATAGTATAAGTATTGCTGACTGTGAACCTCAAGATTTAGCTGATAATGGTGTGACAGAGCATGCTAGCCCTAGACCTGTTATAAATAGTGATTGTTTGCATGACCTGCATGTTAGGCCTAAGCCTGTAAATAATGATTGTTTGCATGACCAGCCCTCCTGTAGTTATGCCCGACCTATGTCCCCTCAAAATGTGCCTCATAGGCCTAGTCCTGTGTCCTATGAACAGCAAAGTTCTGATGATGAAAACCCTGTTGGATTTATGGAAAAAATTTACCGAGGTAGGGTAATTGCACCTGCACTATCTCCTACACCCAGTGAGGAGGCTGAAGCTGATGACCCTAGTTTTATTGAAACCATTCCTTGTCAAGTACCTGAGTATAGTAGAGGTGCAACTATTGGTAGATCAAGGGAAAGGGGAAGACAAAGAGGTAGGCCTAAAGGAAAAAATCCTAGTTTAGTGCTACATAAGCCTACTAAACGGTCTAAGGGCCAACCTAAAACAGCTAAGAAAAAGAAAAAAACAAGGTTGGAAATGGACCAAAACCATAGAAGACAATAGTATTTTCAAAATACCTTTTACAGGCTGTCCTGGTGTCAGGGCAAGCTTAGCAAGAAATTTAGGTCCTTCTCCATCTGAAGTTGAAGTATTCAACGCGTTTGTCGAGGATGATTTTTGGCAACATGTTGCTACAGAAACAAACAAATACGCCGAAGAGACAATTGAAAAAAATAATGCAAGTGGTAAAGATAAACAGTTACTCTCTGAATGGTTTGAAACAACTCGATGAAATGGCATGTTTTTACAGTCTATGTGTTTTGATGTCACTTGTGAAGAAAAGGACCATTCAATCGTATTGGGCCCCTACTGCTACTACTGAGACTCCGTTTTTTTCGAAAAGTTATGCCTTTTCGTAGGTTTTTGCTCTTATCAACAATGTTCCACATTTGTGATAGTAAAAATAAGTCTCAGAATGACAAACTGTGGAAACTGAGGTATGTCATTGATTACATGAATCAAAAGTTTTCACGGTTATATTTGGCCGATGAAAACATTGCAGTAGATGAAAGCTTGATGAAATTTCGTGGGAGGTTGGGGTATGTGCAATTCAACCCCAAGAAAAGAGCCAGGTTCGGAATCAAATTTTACAAATGTTGTGAGTCAAGCAGTGGATACTGTACAAAATTTAAAATATACACCGGTGCTGAAGTGAAACAAGGCGAAACAGTGGAAGAAGGGGGTGGAGACACTGCTGAGGATGATAAACTTTTGGTGAGCGAGGCCATAGTCATGGAAATGGTCAAGGAATGTTCCGGTAATGGTCATACCCTCACAATTGACAACTAGTATTCCTCACCTCTCCTCTACTATAGATTGAAACATATTGGTTTCAATGTGATTGGGACGGTAAACTCTTGGAGGACAAATATGCCTGACAGTTTAAAAAGTGGAAAACTTGAGGTCGGTGATTATGAAGCTGCGTTTAGCCATGACATGATGGCCCTTAGATGGCAAGACAAGAAAGAAGTGTGTCTCTTGTCTACTTTCCACAGTAAGGGAGACAAAAAAAAACAACTGGAAAGAGAGACAGAGTCAGCGGTGAGGTGATTACCAAGCCTGAACCCATCCTCTATTACAACAGCTCGATGGGCGGTATCGACCGAGAAGACCAACAGCTCGCTTCTTTTCCTACGATGAGGAGATATGCTAAAGGGTATAAGAAGATTTTTTTTTTATATTTTGGACATAGCTCTCTTCAACTCTTATGTTGTTTTTAAAAAAATCACCCAGAAGAAGATAGGATTTGCGGAATTCAAAAGTAAATTTACGGAGCAAGTGTTCCAGACCAGACAACTACCGGCCTACAAACGAAGAGGGCAGCCATCAACATCTGAAACCCCTCTACGGCTTCAAGCAGCTTCTTGGGGTCATTTCCCAAGACAAATCCCACCTAATGAAGTAAAGCAAAACCCATCAAGACGCTGTAAAGTTTGTAGTGCACAAGGGAAGCGTAGTGACAGTCGGTGGGAGTGCGAAATGTGCTTTGTTGCGCTTCACCTACCCGAATTTTTCAAGACATATCATACTAAGTTGAACTTTGCTTGATATCTTTTTGAGTCTACAACATGTCAATCAGTATTTTAAGGCAGAACAGTAAGATATTTTTAACTTTTATAGTCAAAAATTAAAAAAAAGGCAAAAATAAATTTTTTTTTACAATTTTTGTTTTGTATTATATGGTATAAAAAAATTATAAAAATACTTTTAACCAATAAAATGTTTGTTTTTTTTTATCTAAATTCAATTCTGATTAGAAAAATAACAGTATTTGATATACAAATACAAAATTCTGAGTGCAGGTAAAAATATTGTAAATTGTGTAAAATTACACAGAAATAATTCATTTTTTTGGCCCGGTTAGGTGTAAAAATAAGTTTAAGCGAAGGGGTTAAAAAAATTTCAAAACAACCACAAATTGTGTTTCTTGGAAATAATTTACCAGTTGCTCAAAATTATATTGTCAAATTGTTGTTTCAAACATGCTTATTCCTAAAGATTCTTAACCCGATTTTAAAACCACTTTATCATGGCTATTCAGAGTATCTCAGATTAAAATAGGCAAAGACATCTGAACTGTGTTTCTTAGCACACTTTCTTTCTTAGGAGTAAGAGGTTGCGGTACAGTAATTGTAAGAAAACCAGGAATTTAGGATACAATCCATTTTCATAGTAAAGTTAATGTATTAAAATATAAAAGAATTGTTTGAATACAATTCTAAGAAAAAAAAACTGGTAGCCAAATATTGTACCATACCGACTTTAAACTTCTGTACTGGATATAAATTACAATGCAGATAATTTTTATACAACGCTTAAATTTGCTGTTGAAATATGTTTTATGAATATTTTATAGATAAAATATAAACCCAAAACTAAACAGGCCTATATCAGTATTTTATTTACTTTTAATGTATTGTTTATATTTATAATTTTACTACTTCTAAGTTCTAACCTGGATCAAAACAGTGTTTTGTTCTAAAACAAGTTTTAAAAAAAACCAGAGATGACTCACATGACAGGCTCAAGTCTTAACGTGAACGATCCGAAATCCCGCAATCGAAACTTACCTAGCCTGGTATACTAACGCACCGACTAAATCAACCGGGCTTACCCCTGGCCAGTTGAACTCGTAATTTTGAAGGGGTCGCAGCAGTGACCGAGACTGACTGATCTGGATCCGAAACTCCAGTATCTACAAGAATGTAAAGTTGGATGATTCTGTTTGAAAATCCCACATCTTCAATCAAGAAATTATACTCACATCAATTTAAGTACAGTTTGAGTTCGGAGCACTTTATGTGATGTGTTGCAGTTCAGCATCACCCCACCTTCAAAAGCATCAACAGCAGTAACATAGCCTGGCCATATTTCCAATCTGAAATTCAAGTATTTACATTAGGGAATGTATATATAAATTTACTGTATACCTTTATATTAATTTATACAGATGGTGTTTTTGGCCTCTAGGGACCTCAAAACAAAAAAGTAAATCGGCCCCGGGTCCAGGTCTTACTATGAGTACTACAGTAATAGCTTATTCCCTATATGGGAAATTCGCTAAAATGAATTTAACCCTCTTCGGACGGGCCTGTAGTATGTAAACAGACAGGAAAATTATTATATTTGGATAGAAACTAAAAACTATTTTTTCCTATCTACAATTTATAGAATGTTTAAAATAGTTTACCTATGCAGCACTTTTGCCTAAAATATTTTTTTTAAATCCTTTTTTCCCATTTTTTTGTTACATTAAAAAATGTTAAATTTCTTATTCTAATATAAAAACATTCCATGTACATTGGTTAAAGATATAGTTGAACAAAAATACGTTTTTTACTGGAACCCTAACTTCAGCTGTCTCTAGTAGACATTTCTGAATATCGGTACGACTAATCATAGTCATTTTAAACTTAATTGAGGTATAATTAATAATTAATATACATAGTCTGTGTGAAATTTTGAAAAGTAGGGCACTCTTGACATTGTGGATTGCTAAATTCTTCCACTGACACACAGAGTTTGTAAAAGCGAGTCGAGCGCTCGTACCGCCCAGTGAATGCTGGAATCTCGTAATGAACAAGTTCCACGCAAAACACACTTACTATTGTCTGATAGTGGTCTTCGGACCTATCTATCACTGGAGAGACTAAATCAAGTCGAAACAACAGAGCACACCTCTATCCTTAAAGGTGGATAGTTGTATTCAACTTAGCGCAGTCTCAATCAATTTCGAGTCCTCAAACCACACACGATACATGGATCGTACACACCCGAAACGGTACGTGTGACAATTCCGATGCTCGGAGAGGTAGGGATTTGGTTTTGAAACTTGAAAGATACATTTCACAGAGACTATGTATATTAATTATACCTCAATTAAGTTTAAAATGACTTTGATTAGGGTCATACCAAAATTCAGAAATGTCTACTAGAGACAGCTGAAGTTAGGTTCCAGATTCCAGGAATCAGCAAGCGATGACAGATTTCAGTCATCCAAAGGCACTGGACGTGAAAACAAACAAACATAAAAATTGATGAGTCCGTCCACAATAATCGAAGAACAATAAAGATTTTTTTATCAAGATTTTTTTCAAACGAGATAAAAAATAAAAAATATAAACACCTGCAGAAATTCAATGCAATGTGCAATACAGGAGCGCGTTGTAGTTCTGTTTCTTTTTCTAAGGCGTCCTTATTTGATTAATTCTTTACATGCAAATATTACTTTAATTATTTTATTTTATTTTTTTGTTTTGACATCACAAATGATGAGAAGTTTTGTTAAATGAAAGCAGTGTGAGGCACGTTTTACTACTACTAGGTATGGATTAATACATACACACAAATCTCATCAAAATCGGACCACAGGAATAGCTTTGTACACATCCACACATCCAGACATTATTGAAAATGCCTGCCTATGATAAGAATTTAAATTTTCCATAATCTTGCGACAGATGATTTGAATGTTTATATAATCAGTTGTCGGTTTTGCTTTTTCAATTTTGTAAATATTAATGAAAAATACATTTACTTGTTCCATCATTAAAATTTGTTTTTACATTTTAAAAACAATTTAAACTTTGATTTTCCCTAAACTACCCCCACTCTGCAAATAATTCAAGACACACACACACACACACACAGACAGGCAGACAACACTTTGAAAACCCATTTTTATTTTAGATTCAAGGGGACCCTAAACGGATATATTCATTCAAAACTGAAACTCGACAATTTTTGTCAAAATCAATCCTTTTTCCATATACTATGCTATAGGAGAAAGTATAAATTTTTACTCTTAATTCGAAAATTATTTATTTTTGTCCCAATAAATTGAACTTTTGGTGGTTATTTATTTGCTTGACCCACCAATTTTGAATTACTGCATCAATATTCTACTGTATTAATTTAACGATTTAAAACATGTTTACAATTGGTTTAAATTTCTTTCAGGATTATCCGACTGTGATAAGACCACCTGAAATTTAGGTTGGATAACTAGGACTCTACTGAAGTTACTTGTTGAAACCATATATTTTAACTAATCTATACTCACTGATGCTGGGGAATAGCCTGAACTCCATCGGGACTGAAATATTCTCTCCCAATCCTCTGGAGCTTTAACTCTCTTTGGATGTTATTGAAGAGAACATTATAAAAATGTAAACATTCTCTCATTGATCGCTCTCTTCTATAGATGAATGTTATTTTGTGTTCTTCTTTGGTTACTGGATGGATGCTGGTTACTGATTCGACCTAAAAAAGTTAAATTTATTTATAAGACATATTTCCTGCTTATCTGGTAGGTTTTTCTGCAAGTTTTCTATACAGTCTAACCTTGATATAGCGAACCTTGATAATACAAATTCCTTGATCCCAGCTAGTATAAGTCACTTCAATATAACAAAGGATAGGGTCCTTGTAAGCTGTCCTTTGGACCCGAAGACGGATACACATGGAGAATGATTGGTTTTTATGGAATGTGGTACGAGATAGTGGAATATGTAGGTTACAGAGTACTTAGTCAGATAACAAGCATAAGATTTGAACTCAGCATTTGTCATGGTTACCAATCCATGACTATCACTATCAATCACAGGCTTGTTGTAGGCCAATGTTTATCGGCTAATACAAAAACAGAATGAGAAAAATATTGTCCCTCCCACCTCCCTTAAAGGCAGCCAAAGTTTTTACTACAGTTAGACTAAATCTAGACTAAATACTTTTTTCTTGTTTACAGCGCCCCTATCCTTATAGTACTTTACCAATAGTTAAGAATTACCTCTAATTTATGAGGCAGGTACATTGTGACGCCATCAAAAGTTCGTCTTTTGCCGCTCAGTATGTCCTTGTGTTGAACAAAGAGCATTTGTTCAAGCTGACCTCTGTCATCCACAGCTGGAGAAAATCTCACTTCGTATTCGTAAATGCCTCTTCCTGGCTTCAGATACAGGGGAATATAGTTGGCTGTAGCATTAACCCTGCAAAAAATTCAATTTAATGCAGGCTTTTAATTAAGAAACTAACAGATATAATGTGAGGCTACACACATAATATTAGTCTACTGATTTGTTAAATTATTAGTTAAACCTTATTTAGCTCTCTAGCGATTCATATACAACTAGTAAAGGTAGGTAAAAATGACATCATTATTTAACACCACTAACCACAGCAGTGATACACTTAATCAAAAAGTAAGATCAATGGAATATCAAATATCAGAAATAGGGCTGAAAAATAACAACATAGTAAAGAAGCTAAGCATTTTACAAAAATACAACATTTTGAAACCATATACTGCTTAAACTGACATCTGAACCACCAGTTAAAGAAACACTCATATAGCTAATAAGCAAAAACCATTAATTATATATATGATAGGCAAGGGGCATTCAAGACATAAATTCTACTTTAATCACTTTACTACTTGCCTACTCTACACAGGCTACTATTCGCAGTAGCCTTTGTTTTACATTAAAATATGTGCTAGAAATGTTGTAAACTGTGATGTTATCTGTGGCCATTTCAGAAAGTTTAATGTTCAAATAAACAGATTTAATTTCAGTTAACATTTTTAGAACAATTTCTTTATTGAAAACACCGTCCCAAATAGTTTGAAGGGTTTGTTTGTACTCACTCTCTCCCATCTTTCCCTCTCATTATGACAGGTGGTGTGTCAATGTCCACCCTCTTCATCTGTCGGGTTATGTCCGCCACCTCAGCCACAGGTTGTGGTTGTACTGCTGGCGAGGGGGCAGCAGCAGTGGAGGGAGTAGGCGTGGCTGGACTAGCTCTGGCACTAAAATTATTATCAAAATGAATCTCCAGTGAACTAGATTTGTTTAAAACAAACACCCAAACACTTTTAAAATACTATAGACTTTTTACAAATCTTGTGCATGATTTTAAAATGGTCATCTACAAATGTGCAACTTTCTTCTTTGTATGTATGGGTCTTTATATTAGGATCCTACTGGTTGTAGCCTTGTACAAGTAACATGGTCTACAACTTGAAATTACATTTAGAAGAAGTATTTAACTTTATGTTGTTTCTTGTCTCAGGATTACTGTCTTTAGAAGTATTTAAGTTAGAATTCATTCCCTACTACTAGAATGTCAACTATTAATAAATAATAATGTTACCTTCTACCGTTCCAAGTTTAGTGTAGGCCATAGATTAGTCATATTGATAATGATAATGATAATTTATTTGCACATAACATACAAATTTGTGAAAATCACATGTACAGGTGCTTTGTCTTGATTTCTTAAAAATTGTTTGTCAGTCCTTAATTATTCTAAGTCATGTTTCGTCAACATGGGGACATCATGAAGGTGATCCCCTATAAATAAAAACGAAATATTGCTTCGTCTTCAATATTTAACACAAAAGGCCGGCCGCCCCTTTGTGTTTTGCAAAAAAAGAAAGGTTTCAATGTAAAAGCGATAATAAATTTCCCGTTGTTGGCACACTTATTAATGCATTTTTTTCCAAGAAAGACATAGTACAATATGAGTGCATTCTATTAAAATTGTATTTATAGGTTTTAAGAAATACATTTATTTTGTGGTTGAGGCAAGAATGAGTATGAATGAATGAATAGCCTAAATTAATCCCCGTATGCATTGCTGTTCTTGACAAAGTTCAATTAAAATGTATTCAGTTTAAATTGGGTTTTTTTAGGTTTCTTCTAATTTCTATGAACTTATTAATATATATATCGATAAGAATAATAAAGAACTATATTTAATGTTATATATTATGAAACGCTTTTCCTTTGACAGTTTGCGGAATGCTGCACCACTTAACCATTTTAGTTTTCACTCATTATTATTATTTTCTTCATGCATATTTACAAAACTAAAATGACTAAAATAATAAAACAATCAAAAGTGGTTACAAAAATAGTTTTTTCATCCAAATTAAATAAATAGGGTCTGTTATTAATACGTTTTAGATTAAATAAACATATATATTTGTTCTACAAACACAAAAATAATTTATGACTGCGTTTAACACGTCCCCTATATCATTGGGAAAAAGTTATAAGATAGGCCTATTTTATATTTGTGATTTAATTATGAGTACTTTAATAAAGAATTTTAAAAATGGATAACATCTTTAGCAATGTCTTATTTACAAACCAACATTTTTGCAGGCTTTTTGCTAAAATAACTTTGAAGGATTAAACGAATAGATAGGCCCTTTATTTATTTTATTTTTAGGGTTGTACTCAAAACACAATTTTACCTAAATAGATTCCACGAATATAAGTAGTTATTTGTTATACTGTAGGGGTGGGCGAGTAGTGATTTTTCAATTCGAGTCGAGTCGAGTCGAGTATTTGAGTAAAAACTCGAGTATCGAGTCGAGTCGAGTAGTTGCGCGTTAAGTAGGCCTAGGCCCAGGGTTTATGCTGCGGTAGTATTTTTAGCATCTTGCTATTCACAACTTAAAAATGCTAAGTTTACATTGTTTTGCAGGCTAGGCCTATGGCAAATTTTCTACAAATAAAATTGAAAGATGTAATGTTCAAACAAATGTAATATTAGCCTACTGGAATTTTTTGTTTTAAATGTTTAAGTTATTGAATAATATGTTTTCTACAGTTAGGCCTAACTTAGTTTTTGTCTTTGCAGAGAGTTTTTGCTGAAAAAAATTTCATCCTAGCCTAAACCCTGCCTAGGCCTAAATAGGTAGTTTAAGTACTTATACCAAATTTTCTAAGTTATATGGTTACTAATTATTATTACCTCCTACCTTAGGCCTAATAAAAAATTTGGCCTAGACTACTTGTTGGCTGCAGCATTAAATTATTTAGGCCTACACATCACTTGTTATTGTGTGTTTTATTTTTTCTTGCCTTTAATTCCTCCTCACTAACATGATAATCAACCTAACTAACTAACTTAATAAGGTACCTAACTTTAAGAATAATTTCAATTCAAATAAGAAACAGAATTTATAAAAATAAATTTATTTATTTAACAGAAAACTTATATCAAACTCACAAGTTAAAAACATCAATATGCAATGAGGTATTTTAAAATAGGTAATCACTTGGATAAGCACTTCATCTGTCTGAAGTTTGAAGGTTATGGGTACTAGGGCTATCCTCTTCACTCAGTACATTTATAAAAATGATCAAGTCACTCGTCTCTGACAGACTGAAAATATCAAATAAAAACATAGTAGGCCTATTATCTCGAAATAAAATCCCACATTAAACACTTAATTTAAAATTAAAACACATTTCACTGAAGCCTGGTACAGTATAGCCTATTTGGCCTTTCTTTATAAACTCACATTTTCTAGGTTAAGTTAGGATTCAAACTGTAGTTGTCATGTTTCTGCCACCAGATTGAAAATTGCACAATCAAAATCACAAACAGAATATGTTTATTTTACTTTCTATTAAACTTCCACTAACAAAATCAATTTTATTTTAAGTTTCAAATTCACTTCAAAGTAAAAACATTCAAAACTGACGTTGACATAACTTCACTCCAATCCATTGTTTTGTTTTGTTCTTGTTGTTGATATGCGTCACCATTGATCTCTCTCTCTCTAGTCGGTCTGCTCCTGCTGTCTGCTTCTGCTTTGTTTTCCCATCAAACAGCTGTTTTGCAAGGCTGACGTTGCCATAATTATCATTACACCATTATGGTGAATGTCGGCAAAATTATCATAAAATTGTTATAGCTTTTATTTCGTAAAAAAAGTTAATAGTTTGACTAATTTAAATCATGTTTATGTAAACTCATTAGAAAATTATACTTATAGTTTCTTTACGCCAATACCACAGTTGTAAAAGTACAAAAATTATCGTCCATTTGGCAACACTGAGTTTAAAGTGGAACTGATCTTTTCTTTCTGCCATTTGCCTAGACCCAATGAGATTGCGTCATTCAGATGCATCGATGTTCCTTGCAGTAACTTATCGGTTTGTAAAACTAAACACCAATACCGATTAATTTGAAAAAATATTATGCTACAATAGGTTATTTTTATTTGTTATATTTCTATATTTTGGTATAAAATATTTTGTTATTTCTATATTTTGGTATAAAATATTTTTATGGCAGTTCAAACTAAATCTGATACTGTACTTTAGAATATCTTCAAGAATCGTCTGCCATTGTTAGGCCTACTAGTCACGAGACTCCCTTGTTGACTATCGACTATTGCAATTCGATAGATTCATTCAATGCTTTATTTCAACTTACTGTAACTGTATCGTTATCGAGACGTATTGTTGACTGTTGTAGGAAAGTGAAAGTCTGTTGTTGTTGTTAGTAGTCCTCTTGCTAGCTCTGCCGAATGACGATGATGGGTGTTTGTTGAACATTTGGTTTATGCTGGTCTAACCTATATGAGGTTAGATAGTTGTTTTTTGTAGGAATGGGGATTAAATAAGGCATCAACACAAAACAAAATATAATTTATTAAATATGGATGTAGAAAATCGTGAATTGGCACTATTTATAACTACTCAACTCAAAATTTTCGAGTAGTAATTACTACTGGACTCGAGGTCGAGTATTTGAAAAAACTCGAGTAATTACTCGAAGGTCGAGTACTCGCCCACCCCTATTATACTGTTATACTTTATGCATTAAATTAATGAGTATAAGCAGTCAAGCATAAACACGGCTTTTGCCGGATATTATGATTGACATTATAATTAATAACATTACTATCTTCACCGCTAACCACCACGCACCTCAACGGGAGGCTCCCCTAGGCACGTGCCTTATGCTAAGTCCGCCACTGACAAACACACAATTAAAGATTGGTCGTTAAATATGTGTTTGTTTATTGTGTAATGATTGTTTTTTGCTCAAATTGAATACAAACATATCACTAGCAATAGAAATAGGCATAAATAAATATCACCTTTGAGAAGCTAATGCCTGTAGTATCTGCCCCCGCCCACCCTGCCTGGGTGCTGGTCCAGCTGTAGGTACGGGCGCTGATATCGCTGCGGGTGTGGGTGCCGGCGGGGGTTGACTCTGCAGCAGTTTCTGCAACTGTGCCCCTCGCCCACTGACTCTAGGAGGTGGGGTCTGTGACAGGGATGGTGTCACTTGCTGAACAGTTAAAAATATATGTATAATAGCAGACATGACACACACACAATATACTCACAACAAATAAAACATTTCCCATGAACATTGAAACCATGTTAGTCTACAGAGTAACATGCTAATGATAAGTCACCTGTAAACCTGCAAATTGTTTCTAAGAATTAGATTAAGATTAGTGGTGGGTCGGTACCACTTTTTCAATGTCGGTTTTGGTACCGGTTCCTAACCAAAATTGATTCTCGGCTCCGGTGCCATCGGTACCTCATTTTAAATTAGGCTAGTTAATTGTTTTATTTTGAAAACAAAATATCTCCATTTCAATTTTTAAAGCAGATTATTTTCATTAGTGTAGGTTGGTTAAATTCAGGGATTAAGAAAATAAAACTTAGGCTTATTTTTACAAACAACACTTTGACAACCAAACACATTCAAATCAAAACAATAAATACCATACATAGCCTACCAGAAGTGTTAAATACATGCCTATTTGTTGAAATGATTCACTGTTAAACCAATAAATGTAACATTAGCTACTAACCTTGGAAAGAAAAGGGGCTCTGGAAATGGGTTAAATAAAGTTTTAACTGCATGTTAAGTTCTAGCTAAATATTTAGAAGAAAGTAATTTTGAGTCATTTTTACCTATAAGTTAGCCTGCATAAAGTTAATTTTAGACTCCATTATTTAGAATGGAAAATTTAAAGCAAAATTATTTATGGAAAGGACGTTTTAAATCAAACTTTTTAGAAAATTATTCATTTGAGGTTACAGTTTAAGTTTATTTATTTATTTTGCTTCCAACGGTCCAAATAAACCAATTAGGCCAAACAATTAATTTTTTTTTAGAATCCGAATCCATATTCAATGTAACTATATCTAAGAGTCAAGCCAAACATGCAACGGGACCCATGATCTTTAGTTGCAGGGTGGTGAAAAAAGATTTATCAAAGGCTTGGTTTTGTGACTGTGATGGTTTTTTTGTAGGCCTAGTGCCTGTACCGGTATTGTGGGGCTTTATATCGCAATATGTGTTGTTTGCTTCATCAGTTTTAAAATACTTCCAAACTTGGGAAGCCATCATCAAGAATTTACCACAAATTAGTATATAAAAAACCACTTCAGGTAGGTAGGCCTACTTCTTCAGTCTTGTAATAAACTAATCCACTTTCACTTATTACTTACACACAAAAGAAGTTTAATTATTCACATCAACATATAAATTTTATTTAAGAAATCCGACGAAAAAAGGACTATTCTTCAACTTTGAAGAATCTAGGATGGCATGCAAGTTTCTCAATAAAAACAAACAGTCAATACTGATTGCAATCTTGCCTCTTCTGATGGGTTGTACTGATTCGTTAAAACTTAAAGAGATGGACTGCTATGTTACATGAATTATCTTACTAATATTATAAATGTGAAAGTTTGTGTGTTTGTTTGTGTGTTTGAAGTTCAATCACGCATAAACCACTGGACGGATTGGGCTGAAATTTGGCATGATGATAGCTTACATTCCCGATTAACATATAGGCATATTCTTATCTCAAAAATACTTTCGGGCTCCGCCCCAGTGGCTCTGTAATTCCCCATGTTAACCTTATGAGTATTCATATTTAAAGGGAATTAAAGAATTTAGTCAGCTGTTTCAACCAAAAAAGTTGGTTCTATGATATGGAAAAGCATTAAAAAGTTATATGATTTACCAACAGGGTGCAGCACTATATTTTTTGCATTGACGAAAACAGCTAATTTGAACTAAGCAGCAACAAAAAACTGTGATTTTCAATGAGAACTGTCAAAGTAGGATTGTTTACAGTTATGTTTATGTTTTTTATTTCATGTATAATTTGTGATATTTTGCGAATTGTTGATAATTTATTTTTCTCTATTGTTTAGGTGAAGTGGTAGAACACTATGGCTATAGTAGATGTGTAATACTATAGAATACTGTAAATTTAAAAAAACAACCTTATCCAAACTGTGTCCTCCTATATTGCAAACGAAAAGCTTGAGTATAACTGCAATAAGCATTTTATACTTATATTCCAACCCCGTACGAAGGACGGGTACTCTGCTAGTCTAATATAATTTTTATCCACAATGTCATATGAAATAGAAGAAAGAATATACAAATCAACAATATTAGCTGAACATGGTAATAATCACATCGGTATACCGCAAAACATAACACATAACATCAACAAACTGCAACAATAGAACGCAACATTAACTGTGTGTCAAAAAATTAAAAACTGCTGTTTACAGTTACGACGTTTGCTGTGTATGCGGTAGAAATATAAAATCAAATACGGTTCAACACAACATCACAATAATCTAGTGTATTTTTGTTATTTGTAGTAGATAGTGGTCTCTCGTATATATATTACCACGTGATTTTTAAACGTCTTTGTCGGCCATTTTGGATTTTGGTGCCGTGTATGGAAATTGTTAAGAATTCAAGCGGGCTCCTAGGCTAAAATTTATTAGTATACCCCAAGATGCCTTCGTGCCAAATTTGGTGCTTTTATCCGCCAGGTAACGGTATTCTTAAAGTAAAGCCCTAAGCAACCTCACTATAAGTGAAATATTCATCATGGTTGACAATTTGAATGTTGTAAATGAGTAAATAAAAAGATAACCTATTAACTTGGTACCGAAGGTATCGGTATCGACAGTTCACCATCGATTCTCGGTCCCAGTACCTTTCCCAGATGTCGGTGGAACCGAAATTTATTTGACACTAAGTACCGACCCATGACTAGTTAAGGTATAGTTTAATATAAAAAGAAAGTTTCGAGAGTCTTTCAAGTAAGGAGAAATCAATATTACAGTAGGCTTAGGTTTTACCAGCACTGAAAATCAAATATAGAGATTTTTCATGATGGAATGGCCTCTGGATCGCCTGAATTAACTATATATGACAGTAGCAAGGTATTTTAAACCACTACCTATATAGTTAGAGATTTTTGCATGTTGTAATTAAGATTGAACTCATAAATTTAGACTTATGCCTAAGTCATTTTCGAGCAAAATGTTGTAAATACTGTATGTCCGATTAGTGAAAATAGAGATGCCCGCTGATATGTAACAATATGGAGTACTTCTACAGGGTGTCTACTACATTCTGGATAAAAAATTCATGGACAATTCCCGTACATTTAAGGACACTTTGCCGTAACCTTTGTCGGTGTCATTAGGCCTACCGAATAATTTTCCTGATTTGTCAAACTGTATTAATCTTGTTATTCACTGTAGTTGTACCAGAGAGAAAAGTAAATAATAATAGATAAGAGTTAAAAATTACAAAATAGAAATTTATTGAAAGTAAACAAACATAGGCCTACCTATACTTTGGGTAGGCCTAAAGCTTTTATAGTGTAACAGAGAAACGCAATCATTGTCTCCTGCGATAGCGACAAATATCTCCATCCGTCACGTAAACTTCATAACATAGCTTATCCGATCCAGGCGGATTAATTTGGCATGATTCGCCCTGGCACAACATTAGTTTCTCGACTACTTTTGAAAAAAAAAATCTTTAATGCATATTGTTACTCAATTCTTAGTACAAAATCAAGGTATGGTAAGCGGCTATTAATAAGCAATAAGCACAGAGTAAGATTATTGTATTTTCATTTGTAAAGTTAATATCGACACATAGCAATCATTAGTTGTTTATCTTAGGCTCAATTACATTTTCTTAATATATTTTACAACTCTTTCAAGAATCAAAATACCCAGGCCTAAGCCTAATTATTTAGGAGGGCCTATATAAACTGAGTAACAAACAATGAGGTTATAATAGCAGCAAAGTTACTATCATTCTAGTTCATAAGATTTTGATTGCTTAAAGCATACAACTCAATAAATAAATATATGGGAAACAAAAAACATTGAAACCTGAATAGCCAACAATATAAGACAAAGATACAGAAAATGCAATGACATAATTTGAAACCAAGCAGGCCTACATAGTGATAAAACATTAATGCAAACAACAATGCTTGTGGTTTTGTCAATTGAAAGATAAAATGTCCATAAAAAAGGGGTTAACTTACAAAATGAGACTGTAGATTATTTACATGTTTAATATGAAACCATAAACAGTTTTATGGCAGTAGGCACTGGCCGCGGTAAATTGAATCTTCAAGCCGAAAGTACAAGTAAGAAGTGAAATTTAACAGCCATTATAAAGCTATTATTTTCACGATAAAATAGGTTTGGGATCTAATAATAATTACCCTAGTAATAAAAAGAGAAGTTGTAAAGGAATAAAAGTGATATAACTTTTATGAGCTAGCAGCTGAGTCAACAGTTCTTGGAAGTACTTGACTTGACACTTGATTGTCGTGATAAAATATTAATGGGTTTGAGATTGTTAATGGGATTTTTATTGCATAATTACTCTAGTAATAAATTATGAAAATGTAAACAAACATCTGATAAACCTTTTATGTGCTCCTAACCAACTAGCGATCAATAAAATTATGGCCCATTAAAAATTTAAGGACATTGTCTGGCATTTAAGGACAATTCCCGTACATTTCATGGCCAGTAAAAATTTAAGTACAATTCCCGGTTTTCCCGGATTTCCCGGTTGGTAGACACCCTGTTCTAATATTAAAAGAATTTAAATAATTAGTGGAGATGGCTTGATGCCAGGTTTATAGGATTTTGTGGTAAAGAATTTAAACTGCAGGCTCACGGTACCCTAAGTTACTGTCAATAATTATTAAAAGTAACAAACAATACACAAAAAATTGATTTTTCCCAACTACTGGCAGCGTTTTCTTCAGTTGTGGAGCCTTTGTTCTTGATGCTGGCTGTCCTAGGCCAGTTATTATGGAAGAAAATTCAACAAGAACAGAGATTCCACAACTGAAAAAGACACTATTCCCTTACCTATTAAAAATGTATCATATATATTTATTTGTGGATAATGAAGAATGTTGTTCAACCTATCCACCGCAAAATCTTTATTTTAAATAGTCTAAGACTTTTTAGGGATATAGTGTTCAAGGTATCAAATCTTGACAACTGAAAAAACATTCAAACTACCGGTACCTAATTTTATTTAACCCTCCGAGTGTCCATAGTTTAGGCCTTAATGTCGGCCTATTTTTGGCGCATTTGCAAGGTTTTATTAAAACGGATCTGAAAAGCTTAAAACAATGTTAATTCTACTGTTCTATATATACCATTTTGTTTGGAAAATCATGGGCTTCAATATCATACATAAAACCTAAGGAATATTTGTTTAAAAAAAATTTTTTTAGGTAAAAATAAAAATTATTTTGGAAAAATTGAAAAAAAAATTAAGTTCGCGCTCAATGAAATTGTATAAATTATAGGACTATAAATATTTGAAAATAGCCACTTTGTTCTAAATTTTATGAGGATTACAAATATATAATAATATAAGGAAGTAGATTTGCAAATAAATAAGTTATGGGCAAAGAACAGATTTCAGTACATAGCGTTTAGCTAAGAATGCATAGCCTAACCATAGCTAGGAATCTGGCTGATAATTTACATCAATATCACTACCTACTTCTTCAGGATCATCAACCAGCCCTTAAAAATCACTTAAATCTTCTTATAATGCACCACGTATATCACTACTTTTGATTTTTAACACTAAAACAATGATAAACATAATAAAACACATCAGTCATCGGTCCGAGGTAAACTAACCTGTTTACAAATACGCACGTCAGCTGTCTGCTACAATTACGATCGGCTCGGAGAACATACAGCGCTTAGAGACGGACCTCTGGAGAAAGCTTAAAATATAACGAAAAGAACGATACCTAACTCGATCCAGTTCAATCCGATTTTGTCAGTCATAGAGCCTTCGCCGTAAACAGTGTTCGTGAGTCGCTGCAGCGACGCATGACACTCGGAGGGTTAATAGATTACTGGTATATGACGGCTCGACAACTACCACATTAGACATTGATTAAGTACTGAAACTAACTTATCAGGAATGATTGTTGCAGTATACCTGTACATGGGGAGGTGGTGCATCTCCACTTCCATCCTGTGGGGGATGTCCAGGAGGTCGCTGCATTTCAAGAAGCTTGGCGATAATAGCGCCTCGACCCCCTCGACCGGCAATAATCTGCTTCTTTTCAGCCATTTCTCTGTTCAAACAAAACCAGGTAAATAAACCGGACTGACAATATAATGAAATGAAATCAATTTATTGTTAGACATTTCACAATGTTTTAACAATCGTCATAAAATACATAATGATGTTATTAATACAGCAAATGAATACTTACATGTAATCAATCAATATAATAAGTTCTAGTATTAAAAAAATATTTAAATACAGGCACAATTAAATAGAAATATTTTGACATGACATTTACTAGGCCCAACTTGCTCTGCTCATGCTTTGCAATGGGGTGAGAAAACAGAAGAGAATATTGAGGTTTCACACCTATCACTGATCATAGAGCAAAATTGCCCCCAACACCCCCCCCCCCCCCCCCAGCCCAGCCACCAACTTCCAAGGCTCGAATTTGCCTCCACGCCTCCTTAATCGGCCTAAAAAATACCACATCTAGAGGTTGTAATAACATTAAATTATTCGGCTAAATCTGATCAGTTCAATGAGGGAGTAGCCTTCATACCTAGGGTATTCCCCAAGTTGAACTAACTTAAGTTTATCCTAGTCTAGGCCTAGGATACCCTAAGTTATGGCTCAAGACTTTTTTTTATTTCTTAGGCCTAATCAAGGCTAGCTTTATAAATAAGTTAACAATAGGCCTAATAGCAATGATCTAGGCCTAAAAAGATCAAGGCCAACTCAAACCTTCGCATTAACATAGCCAAGGCCTAGATAGAAAATTCAATTGTCTTAGGGCCTATTTAAGTACTTTACCTTACTATGATGGATATTAGTGTGTAATTCTTAATTAGGCCTATTAAATTACAAAACAATAGGTGGCACAAAAATAATCTTCAGAAAATGTTGTGCAACAGAAACCTTAGTCTTTAGTCTTAATAGCAGCAACTTGAATCGACCAAAGAAACGTGGTTAAAAGCTACCTTACTCTCCAGGTCTAACTTAGCCTACGCAAGTTATATCAAACCTTAACGTGTTTTATTAAGACTAAATTGCAGTAGTTTACATACCGGGCAAACGGGTCAGCACAAGAGAAAAATTGGTGAAACTTAATGAGCTGTACGAAAACGAAACTACAATAAGCCCTAGCCTATGACGCGAAACTAAGAACGACAGAGCTAAGGCTTTATACCTTTATAAGGACCACGTAATTTATGTGAATCTGCCAACAACCTAGTAGAATTTCCGATCAAACTAATATAGGATACGATGTCACATTTCCTAAATAGTTGCGAAATCACTGAAACTCAATTAACGATAACAAAATTAAGCAGGGCTAAGCATTGCTCCATTACCATTTCATTTGCCAACCAGACCCCAGACCCAGACCAGAACCAACCATAAACACCAACACGTCCGACACCACCAAGGTTCACTTCACTCACTACACTACACTACACTCACTAGTCACTAATTGACTATTGTATTGAAACGAACGAAAACGACTATTTGACTTTACTACACTACCAAGAAACAAAACAAAACAACGGTCAACGAAGAACGAGAGCGAAACAAGTCCTCCTCCTCAGTCAGTCCTCCCTCAAAGTTCGGTTCGGTTTCGGTTCAAATAACGACGGGGGCGAACCTAGCTCAGTACCACCATTGACTAAGGAAACAAAAGTTTTAACTACAGTTAGTTTTAACTACAGTTTAAACCATAGGCCTAGTTGTGAAAAAAATTATATTTAACATGTTAAAATCAGCAGTGTGAAATCATGAAATAAAGTGAATGTGACATTGTTGCTTGTAGTTTCCCAGCCAACGCAAAACGGTGTGAGGTTTTTCCTTGCCGAAGAAACTAACCAATATTTACTTTTTAAACTATTTTGTTTCGTCAGGAATGGGGTGACAATACAGTGCCAGCTGTAGATACCGTTAGGTTGATTTATGGTCTATTGTTTCGTCCTGAGCCTGCGTTTAGGGAGGTTTCACTTTCTCTCCCTTGTCTTGGCTACAGAAGGCAACGAAGTTGAGCGAATTTTTCTTTAGTGAATTAGAAGTTGGCAAATTCAACAATATAGATGGGATGAGTATTTTCAGAAATTGTTCCTTATGTACAGTAATTAACAAGCATCCATGAAAAACACATCACTAATTACTTCCGAAACACAACCTTTATTGACTGAGCTATGGCCTAATTCGTTTTTCTTTACTAAGCTGTTAACAATTTACTAAAATCTCACTCTTTAATTCCCTTCCCGTAGCAGCATAGTATCTAATGTTATAAAAATAAGAAATAAATATGACATTTTTAACGAAATAATAAAAGTGAAAATACAATCAATTAATTTATAGTAAATTAAAAGCATATCTAAACCTCAAAGTGTAGCGTATGGTTGTAAATCTTATGAAATGACGCAGTTTTTAACATATCTGGCCACCTTCATATACAGGGTGTAGAAAAATGCAATAAACCAATGTTTTTAAAATGTTTATCAAACAGCTTAATTTTTTTCTTATAATGTATTTACAATGACGGTTTTACTGTTGATCCTCCCTCGTTTTCTATTATTCGTATTCAATATTTAATGTAGAACATGAAAATGGCATTATCTACTCAAATCCTTTTACAGGTAATTGAGAAAATGTTGTATTAAGTTTAAAAACATGGTTATTTTTTAAAAACTTAAAATAATTATTTGGGAAGCCTATTTTTAGACTTGGACCTCTTATATGCATCATCATAAGTCATTTACTTTGTACTTACACAAAAAAACTTTTGTCACACTGAATACCAATAACTAACTATGTGTATATATGTCCGTTAGCACGATAACTAAAGCAAAAATGATCCGATTTTGATGGAATTTGGTACAAACGTGTAAACCTACGTTTATTCGAATTTTTTTTCGAACCAGCATAATCGGACCATGGGAACGGGGGTTTGTGGGGGGTTTTATGAAGCAAAAATTTATTTTTCCCATTTTCGACCCTAAATTCACAAAATTTCATAACTTCTCTCCAAACTATTTTGTAGAGCTTAAGAAAAGAAATAATTTCGTATATTGAAGCGTTGTTCTGTGCACAACAGTTACGTTTAAAAACAAATTAATTGTAAATTAAAAACTCCCATGTTATTCTTGTGGAAAATAAATCATATTTGGCAATTTTGGACAATTTTTAGGGAATATTTTCGTAGTATATATACTAACCGTAATGTTTTCGTAAATATTAATATTTTCGTAAATTTACATATTAACTTAAAATTATATAAATATATATTATCTTAATAACAGTTCACAACACTACAATAAATCGGGACAAATCCGTCAACGAAGGGAGCCGCCGCGGTAGGTGAATACACGCCGTGATTTATTTTTATTTATTTATTTATTCCAACGGGGGGGGGGGGGTTTGATGGGGTAAAAATTGGTTTCTAATTTTTGACCCAAAAACATGGAATTTGGCAATTTCTTTCCAAACCATTTTGTAGATCTTAAAAAACAAATAATTTTGTATATTGAAGCGTTATTATGTGCCTAATGGTTACGGAGGAAATTAAAAGAAATTGTAAATTTAAAATTCCCATCTTGTTCTTATCTATTCAATATATAATTCAGTTTAAAAATCTTTGTAAACTCACGTGATCGTGATGCGTACAGCCACGAGTGTTGGCGTCGCGCGTGCGTGAGTCACTTCCTTTGCGTTGGGAATGGGAAGGTCGGTAACGTAGAGAGGACGCAATGGTAGAGCGTGGCAGACGACACGCGCCTGCACTCTGGTGAGCTTTCGGAGAATGACCGTTGGCTGTCTGCTTTGTTTCCCTTGTCTGTGGTACCACTGAGCTAAAATTATAACCTCAGTCTCAGTACAAGTGGGGCGAACCCGGCGAACGAACGTAATAATATTATAAATGAGAAAGTTTGGATGTATGGATGTATGTATGGATGTGTGTTTGTGACAAGTGAACACAAAAAATACTGGTCGGATTGGGCTGAAATTTGGCATGATGATAGCTCACATTCCCGATTAACATATAGTTATATTCTTATTTCAAAAATCCTTTCGGGCTGCGCCCCAGTGGCTCTGGAGTTTCCTATGTTAACCTTATGAGAAATGGAATTATTGAATCTTAACAGCTGTTTCAATTAAACAAGTTGGTTCTGTTCTATGATGTTCAATAGCATTAAAGTTACAAGGATTACCAACAGGGTGCAGCACCATTATTTCTTTTACATTTATGACAACAGCTAATTTGAAACCAAAAGGTGAGTGAGCGTAGCGAACGAACTTCAACCTGGAGGCGAGCTAGCGTAGCGAACGAGCTAACCTGAAGGCAAGTGAGCGCAGCGAACGAGCTCCAACCTAAAAGTGAGTGAGCGTACCGAACGAGCTCCAACCTTAAGGTGAGTGAGCGTAGCGAACAAACTTCAACCAGGACATGGTTGAGCCATGCGAACGAGATAATCTTGAAAATTAAGAAGTTAAACGGGGCAAAGCCCGCGGGTTACAGCTAGTAATAAAATATAAAATAAAAATACAATCCGACCAGTAGTTAATGTGTGGTTGAACTTCATACAAAACAACAAACAAACAAATAAAAAAACTTTCACATTTATAATATTGGTATGAATTCACTCAATTTACCGTACTTAGATGAATTATCGTAAGCCTTGATAGTAACTGTCGATTTCGACGGGTTTCACCTAGTAGTTATTGAAATAATTATATTTAATTTCTTTGTACATATTCTTAATTTCTTTGTACATACCTCAAGCCAGTTTGTTGTCAGTCAAATAGTGACACATGTATAGTGCCTCTGGTCCGCGCACGCTCTCGGGTTCCTACGACCTTATAGGGCCTACCATAAATGTCGACCGAAACTGTAAATATTTATTTTTCAACACAGTGACAACTTAAAAGAGCCATAGTAGTTGGTAAATTATAGCTATACAGTATTACATTCATAGCTAAGAGCCATTTTTAATACTTTGAACATTCGGGTACAAAAATGCTATTAGAGAATGTGTTAACAATAAAATAGTCTTTAGATCTCCAATGATAAATGGGTTGAAAGTAATAGAAACTTGCCAATTTATCAATAAACATGGATTAAATTATTAGTCGTAACTGGGCCTATATGTAGAACAAGTACATAAAGAAACAAGAACACAGAATCGGGTATTTAATTTTCAGGTTCTTAAAGGATTATTGGCTGTAACAATTAAGCATGTTTTTACCAATATTAACTCACATATTATAATATATCTATGATTATAATGCACTGTAAGGTTCCATAGGATTTACAGGATAGGTGATTACAGGATTTATTTATTGAACACCAACGGCAAACACCATTTTACATTGAGTAGCTACAAATAGGAAAGTATTATAACAATTTAATAATTAACAGAGGAGTATAAAACAATATTTAAAACTAATTAATACATGGCAAAACAATGGATATTGATGTTACAGAAAAATATAACAATGTATAAAAAATATAACAATGAATATATCAATAACAAGAATACAAACAAAATAGATCACAAAATTAACATGAGAAAAATAACAACAACAACAATGCTTTTACAGAGTACCCTCAACATTTTTGGATATCTACAAGGTTTAGCTGTCAAGTAATGATAGGGAGCTCTTGATGTTCATGTCTTGATGATGTATTTGTGTCCTGGAGGAACATTGCTATTGCTACCAAAAAATGTATAAACATTTGACTTCACATATAAAAAGCTATGGCATATTCAATTACACAATAAGAAAGTGATGTAGTTTAAGGAATATACAACAGTAGCATGTAATTACAGGAAATAAGGTTATGCTATCAAAATGTCCTCCAAACACATGTGATTCTCAAACTATCTTTGTATACAATCCATGACAGTAATTTCTCTCCTTCAAACAAGTGCATAGCTCCATAGCTCATAGGTGCATAGTATATAGCTCTGTGTAGTATGTTTGTGGGTTGATTTAAATTGTAGTACACGGTAGGAAAACCCTTCTAATATTTTGTATTTTTAAAGATTTGCCTGATTTGTTAGGCTACATAGAAATAAACTGAATCCTCACCTTTAATATTATCACACGACAAGAATAGTATATTTCGTACCTAGGGCCGAAAATGAGGTTTTGCCGGCTCGAGATAGTTTTTAAGTTCGAGACGAAGTCGAGAACTTAAATAGATCGAGAGCTGCAAAACCATTTCGGTCCGTGGTACGAACGCTATTTTTCACCACACTATACCCTATTACCACTATTCACCACTATAATAATGCACACTGATCGTCAACACAACTACAACTTTAAGGTTATGTGAAGAAATAATTTGAGGAATCAGCAAAAATA